TTGCGTTCGAACTCGGTCACTGCAACAGTAGAGCCAGGCGCCTTCACCATTACTCCATCGATTTTCGTCATTTTGCTTATTCATGTTATTCATGTTGTTATTTTTGCTGTTTAAATTGTGGATGATAATTATTTTAAAGCCTGTCTTTATCGCGCTTGCTTTCCATGTTATTTAGTCATTCATCGCTATTTTTGTTAGTGTTACTTGTGTTGTTGTTCTATTTTGATGTTGCTGGACTTGCTGTCATGTTATTGTTATTGATGTTGTTGCTCGCTAGAGTAACATTGTTGTCTATGCAGCAGTAGCAGCAGCAGCGTTTCAGTGGCGTCGAACGTTCTCACGACGCTGCGATAAAATGAAGTGACTCCGTGGTCAAGTTCAAACGTACCTTCATTTGCAACTTTTATCCCGAGCCTTGTCTCGCGATTTGTTATCTTTGTCGCAGCGCGTCGTCGTCGTCGTTGGCGGCGTCATCATCGCCGTCGTGGTAGTACAGATGTCGTCACTGTCAGCACGCAATCTCTTCAACACACGATAAAAAATCCAATACAGTCATTCATCTCTCTTTCCCTCTCTCTCTCTTTCTCTCTCTCTCTCTCTTTTCTCTCTCTCTCTCTCTTCCCCTCTCTCTCTATATATATACATATATATACCCCGATAGTGTAGTGGTAATGCGCCTGCTCCGGCTTTAAATTGTCCGGAGGTATCAGATGAAAAGTAAACCTCGACTGTTGTACGCAAAATATCTATGTCGCACACATACAAAGGCCGTTTGTACGTGTGCCTTTGTGTGTGTGTGTGTGAGTGTGTTGTGTGTGTTTGTGTTGTGTATGTAGTCGTGTGTGTATTTTAGTTTATGATGTTGAGTAATATAAAAGGGATGACGAACGTTGTAGTTTGTCATTCATTGAAATGATTAGACGATAAGATGATAATTTCTTTGCGATACTATTACAAAGTATGATGATGATGATGATGCCCATTTGATGTGATGACGAAGAAGACAATGATGAAGATGGAAATAATAGTAATGATGATGAAGACAATGATGATGATGATGATGATGATGATGAAGACAATGATGATGATGGTGATGATGACCATAATAACGATGACGACAACGAAGATATTAACAACCAACCAAATAATTAATGCTCATACACGTCCATTATTTTTGTTTTTGTATCAAAAAAAACAAATAAGGCTGCCTTCACAAACAAAATGGCGGTTTTTCATTGCAGATTTAATAAAACAAATTTTCCCGCCTTTGGACAAAACTGACATGTTTCTGGTTTCTGGAAGAAGAGAGAGAGAGAGAAAGAGAAAAAGAGAGAAAGAGAAAAAGAGAGAGAGAGAGTGAGAGAAAAAGAAACAACGAGTTGAATGGAAAAAATTCACATCTTTTTAACCATTTGTTTATTTATTTAGTCCATTTTTTTCATTATTCAAACTTTTCATTCAGTCATTCGTTCCTTCTTCCGTCCATTCATTCATTCATTCATTCATTCATTCGTTTATTTCTTATTATTTTTATTATTTCAAGTAATATATTACGGATTTTGTAAAAATTTTATTCAAAAATTTGTCGAATTATACCGCCATCCATATACATTTCGTTTTTCTCTGTTTATTCGCACCAGTATTAAGTTTCCAAAAACATCATCAACATCACCACTGGCGTGTGATAAACAAAGTACGGAGCCAGCGCATAAAATAATAATCAAATTTTAATCAGTTGTAAAAAAAATAGACGAATTATTTTTCCAAAAATTTACTAAATCTTTTTGTTATTTTTTATCTTTCTGTTTCCGATTTTTATTTTTCTTCCATCTTTTTCCTTTTTCTCATTTTACAGAGGTAATGGTGATAAATCTGCTATCGAATACGCAACTTCGGGCTAGAAAAATTTTTCCATAAATAAATAAATAAATGAGTGAGTGAGTGAGTGAGTGAGTTAATGAGTGAGTGAGTGAGTGAATGAATGAATGAATAAATGAGTACATAAATGAATGAACAAATGAATGAACAAATGAATAAACAAATAAAAGAAGGAATAAACGAACGAACGAACGAACAAGTGAATTAATGAATAAAAGAATGAATTAAGGAGTGAGTTCAATATAGTATCAAATTATATTATAAAATAAACGAACAAACAAATAAAAAGGAAAGGAATGATGGAATGATTGCACGGGTGAATGAATGAATAAATTCGCGACTAGTGTGATTGATGACATAATTGATAAATTAGTTATTGAATAAATAGATAGAGGGATGAAATTGACAAGAGGATGAATGAAATATGATGGATGGACGGGTAGGTGCAATGATGGATTGAGTGAAAAAATGAATAAAAAAATGAATTTAATATGAAGCTCTTGACAACATTAATCAAAATGACATCTTGTCAGATTTATTTTTGTTTCGTTTTTTTTTGTAATTATCATAGTCGATTGTGTCATCATCATCACCACCACCACCATCATCACCATCATCATCAGCAGCATTACCGTCATCATCACCATCATCATCATCGCCATCATCGTCGTCGTCATGATCATCATCTTGGTTATTATTAATTTTATCATCATCATCATAGTTGTCCTCATCATCATATTCGTCATCGTCGTCATCATCATCGTCATGAATCGACAATCTCACCGGCGTTCGTTTTTTTAATCACTTCATCAGCAGAATCATCATTAATTTATTTCCTCACCATCATCACCATCATCATCCTCTTCAAACAACATCCTTAAAAATTCTACATGGATCGATGAAGGCTTCATCCAAAACTATTCTGTCTGTATTAGCAAAATACTACCCAAAAAAATAGTTATAAAAATGGTCTTTGTGATATATTACTTTTACAATAACAACGCCCGTTTTGAAGCAAAAGCACAAGAGAAATTGACCTTTAACCTTCAACCCACTTCAACTCATTTCCATTGACCCCAGGTTTCTTGAGCACCCAGGACGGTACCATTCATGGCAACTTTGCAGTTTTGGACATCATGGCGGCTCTACACTGGATCCAAATCAACATCAAATCATTTGGCGGGAATCTGAACAACGTCACCCTATTGGCTGAAGGTCACGCCACCTCATTGGTCCACATCTTGTTGGTCACTCCAGTGGCCACAGGTTTCTTAATTAAATTTTTTTTTTAGTTTTTATAAAAAATTACTGTAAGTTAGGGTTTGAGATTTTTTTGAATGAGGATTAATGTAAATGTTATTGTAATAAATTATTATTATTATTATTTCGTTTCTTTGAAGAACTTTATACACTCCTTTGTTGTTTTGTATTGCCAACTTCGACTTTGAACGCGCGGGCAAAATTTTAATAAATTCCATCATAACCCAAAACCAACGATATCATTCTTATGTCATTTCATTCTCTCACCAGCACCATCACACACCACCACTATCATGACGTAATTGCCACCACTATCACTACCACCACCACCAACTCTCCCATCAGTTAATCACCTCTTCAACAAAGCCATCCTTGTTGGCGGCTCCTCGTTTGCCACCTGGGCCACCACCGACCACCCGACCTACTACGCCAAACTTCTTGCCGACGCCTTAAATTGTTCCGTTGTCGATCAACCCTCGCCATCATCATCATCATCACCATCATCTTCGTCGTCGTCTTCAGCATCTTCGTCATCGTCCTCATCATTTCTTTCATCCTCTGCGTCAACATCGACCACATCTTCATTCAATCCAACCAAGTTGAAAAACTGCCTCATGAGTAAGAACAGCAGCGAGATTTACGACAAAAACGTTCAAATCCATGCTCCCAAATACTTCTCCTCGTTCGGCCTCAACATCAACCCCTACAGCATTCTACCGCAGCCGCTTGAAGATCTGTCGCGCAAAGCATCCGAGCCACCAGCGTCCTCGACGTCAGCGTTTGCAGCTGAGCCTGCCTACAAGACAACGAAACTTCTCCTAATCACCAGTCAGTCAGACGGTCTCTCGAGATTGTCTCAGTCTCAACTGGAGCACACAAATGCCGAAGTTGTCGATCGAGTCTATCGAACTTACATTCAAAATGTTTACAGCAGACACAAACAACACATTTATGACGTCATCAAGCATCATTATACCGACTGGGAAAGAAGCGATCCCAAGTACTTGCGCGATAGTTTGGCCGAGTTTTTGTCAGATACTCAAAGTGTCGTGCCGCTGATGAAACTGGCTCGAATGCATGTTCAGAATTCGTCATCAACATTTCTTCTCGAATTGAATTTCACCTCGGTTCGATTTCAATCCAAACAACAGCCACAACAACAACAACCACAACAGCCGCAACAACGACAGCCACAACAACAACAGCCACAACCACAACAGCCGCAATTACAACAGCCACAGCAATCCCAACAACAGCGATTCGTCAATCGTTACAGTGATCTAGCATTCATGTTCGGAGCACCATTGGTTGAATCACTGGAACCTTGGTCGATTAGTGTTAGTAGTAGTAGTAGTAGTAGCAGTGTTTATGGGAGTAGCAGCAGTAGCAGTAGTAGCAGTGGAAGTAGCGGTAGTGGCGTAGGGTTCGGCAACAAACTAGAGCGAGCAGCTTCGGAAAATCTAATTAAAATTATTAGCAACTTTGTGTTTACGGGGTAGGTTCGATGTATAATACGTTTATTTGTTTGCACCACTGTATTTCTGTGTGTTTGTATGTTTGTTTGTACTGTATGTTTGTTTGCTTGTATGTTATAATTGTTTGTATATTTGTATATATGTGCCTATTTATCAACTTCAACTTTTCTAGTTTGTCGCTTGTTTAAATCATTCCAAACATTTGGCGAGCTAAATACGCAGCCTATTCAAATTATACCCAATAAATATTCTGGTATGTGTGTATGTCTGTATGTATGTATGAATTTGTATAAGTATATATATGTTTAATGTTTACAAATGTATTTTTACAACTGTATGTATAACAAATTTGTAAACTATGCAATGTATAAAAGTTATACAAAATGTATGTACACAAATCTAGATGCAATATATACAAATTACGTATACAAATGTATGTATACAAATGAATAAATGTTTCCTGAAAATACCATGGTCACATAGATGGTAAGGATGTATGTATGTAATGTTTCAAGACACGCTTCATGTGGCCGCTTACATGGCAAGCTTAATTAGTTTTTGCATTAATATTAGAGGTAAGCGCCCGTGAAATGGTATGTGTGTGTTTGTTTGATTGCTTGTTTGTCCATTTGCATGCTTGGAAATGTTAGTTGGTTGGTTGGTTAGTTAGTTGGTTGGTTGGTTGGTTGGTTGGTTAGTTGGTTGATTGGCTGGCTGGTTGGTTAGTTGGTTGGCTTGTTGGCTGGTTGGTTGGTTGTTTGGTTGGTAAGTTGGTTGGCATGTTGGTTGATTGGTTGAATAGTTGGTTGATTGGTTGGTTGGATGGTTGGTTGGCTGGCTGCCTGCTCGGTTGGTTAGTTGGTTGGTTGGCTTGTTGGTTGGTTGGTTGGTTGGTTGGGTTGTTAGTTGGTTAGTCAGTCATTTAGTCAGTCTGTCAGTCAGTCAGTCAGTTAGTTAGTTTTTAGTAAATTTGGTTAATTCTTCTACTTCATTTTATGCGATAGAAATTTGCAAATTATTAAATTGTAATTCATTCAACCAGCCACTAATAACTCGCATGTCGATTCATTCATTTATTTGTTCAGCCATTAGTTCATCTATTATCTAATTAATTCATTCATTCGATTAGCTTGTGTGTCTGTATGTGCTTGTGTGCGTGTGTGTATGTGTGTGTGTACATTACAGAACGATATTTTGACGATATTTTGAAAGAAATTTGAACATTTGAAATGTCAAAACACCACAAAATAACGAAAGAAAAATACCGAAAAAATTTTTTTACGGAAAAAACATCACAAAATAAAAATATAGAAAGAAGAAAAATACAAAAAAAATTTTTTTTCCAATCGAGACAAGTTGGGTTTTTTTTATTTAATCACATTTCTCTAGTTTTTAATGTAATTTCTTGCTAGAGCCAATTGGTTATTGTCCTTGCCACTGATGTTACTGTGGATTGTTTCGGTCATGAACTTTACTGACATTAATGTTGTTACTGTTGTTAATATGAATAATAATAAGAAATATTCTTATTAACTCTACCGTGAAAAACTTTATTAACGTCATCATTATGATGATGTTGACGATGAGCATGATGATGACGATGATGGTGGTGGTGGTGATGATTTTGACAAGGACAAAATATTTGTAGCGATAAAAACCGTCAACAAACAATTTGTAACGCCAGAGTTAATTTAACGAAAATGGTTTTTTTATTTTTCTCTCTGACATTCGGGGCCTTTTTGTTTATTTACTTTTTACTTTCTTTCACTTTCAATAATTTTTAATTTAATTTTCTGCATTTTTAATTAAATTTTTCTCTGAAGTATTAACTTGTAATTTAGTTGAACTACTCCAAACATCATCAACAACAACATCAACAACATCAGCAAAATACCGTCAACAACAACATCCACAACAACAACAACATCAACACCAAAAAGAACATCAACAACAACGACGACAACAACAAAAATAATTTTTTTGCAGCAATCCAAACAGCCAACAACATCAGCAGCAGCAGCAACAAACCAAAGCTCGACTAAAATTCAACAAAAACGCCAACAACAACATCAACATCAGCAACAACTACAACAACGTCAACAACAATATCAACATGGAAAATACGGAATGGTCTACTTACGATAATATCAAACAGATATATGCCGTCCTTGGTATGAATATTAGTAATGTTGATAATTGAAGAGATGGTGATCATGCTGATGATAATTCATTCGTTTATTCGTTCGTTCATTCATTCGTTTGTTCGTTCTTTCGTTTGTTCGTTCGTTCGTTATTTCGTTTGCTCGTTTGTTCATTCATGTTGAAAGTGACGATGAGGATGATGATGGTAATGATGTTTACGATGATGACGACGATAATGACAATAATAATATTAAAAAAATAAGAAGAAGAATCATAATAATAATAAAAAAATTATATTGATGATGACGTCAATGAAATTAATATTGCAGAACCAAAAGGAAGTCCAGATGAAAGTAAGTATGAACTCATTCATTCAGTGATTTATATTTACTCATTCATTCAATCATTTATTCGTTCGTTCGTTCTTTCGTTTGTTCGTTCATTCGTTTATTCTTTCGTACGTTCGTTCATTCATACACTCATTCTTTTGTATATTCGTTTGTTCGTTTGTTTATTCATTCATTTGTTTGTTTATTCAATAATTCAACTATTCATTCATTTTTTCTTTCAACCATTCATTCATTTTTTGTCTATCTTCTTATCTATCACTTATTTTTAAATTTCATTCAATAGTCATTTTATTCATTCCTTTTATCTTGATCGATCCGTCCATCAACATTCATTCCTAAAATCAATCATCCACCCACTTCATTTTTTTGTCTTTTCGTCCGTCTATCCACCAGCTCATTCATTTATCTATCCCTCCATCCATCAATTTATTCTTCTAATCAGTTCTCTATTTATCTATACATACAGTAGTACAGTAGTTTGATCGATTATTCATTCATTCATTCATTTTTATTTATTTACTTTTTCATTCATTCATTCATTCAATAATTCATTCACTCATTCATTTATCTAAGCACCAATTCATTCATCCAATCACCAAATCATTCATTCATTCATTTATTCATTCTTTCTTTCATTCTTTCTTTTTTTTCATCCATAAGCTTTTTAAGTTTTTCATTCATTCACACATTCATTCATTCACACATTCATTCATTCACACATTCATTCATTCACGCGAATGTTTGTTTTTTAGTTCAGCGGTTTATCCATTTATCTTCATCTTTCAATCTCTTGTCATTGTCTCATATTAGAAGTAATCCGGGCGTATGTACATTCCTTCAATCTTCCCTTCCTTCTTTTATTCCTTCACTTTCAAATTTTTTCATTCATTTGTTCATTCATTTGTTGATTATTCTTTTTTGGTACTATCCTTTTTTCCCATTTGTTCGTTTATTCTGTCTTTCATTTATTTCCTTCGTTCATTCCTACTTTCAAACTTTCGTTCTTTCTTTTATTCCTTTATTTTCGCGAAACAATTTATCATGTTATTAATCCATCCATTAATTTTTCTACCTTTTGAATGATTGGATTTGTTATTAATTGATTTTTTCGTTTAGCTGTTCATCCATCTATCAAACCATCTTTCAATCTATTTATCCACGCATTCATCTATCCATGTATTCGTTCATCCATCCATCTAACTGTCCATCCATCCATCCAACCATCCATCCATCCACTCTTCCATCTATTCATCAATTTCTCTTGTCGATTCTATTTAAATTATACCCACTCATCCATTTGTGTTTATTTTTCAAAACGGGCCGACTGACTCGGTGGCCTGGTGGTTAGGAGCGCCTGCCGTTGTGCTGCAGTTACTGGGCTTGAATTCAAAGAGATCCATCCCACTAAGCAAAAAATATAATGCTTGAAGAGTTCTACATATCTATGTTTATTAAGTGTATCAGTTGTATGTGTGTGTTTTCCTCTGTGTGTGTTTTTATGTTTGTCTGTGTGTGAGTGTTTGTCTGTGTGTGTGTTTGTCTGTTTGGGTGTATATTTGTGGTTGTCTGTATGTGTGTTTTTGGTTTTTTTCTGTGTGAGTGTGTTAGTCTTTGTGTGTGTTTTTGTGTGCGTGTGTCACTGAGTGTGTGACACTTTGAAATGTATAAAGAATGAAGACGAACACATTTACAAATAATTGAAAATGATGTCAATAACTATATTTCAATAAGTTAATCTCTAAATTTAATTAATTAAACTGCTAATTGGAAACCTCTGGAAATGAATGGTCATCTACTTCTTCAAATGCTCACCTTTCCTTCTTTTATATAGAAATTTATTATTCCACACAAACAAACAGACAAACAAACAAACACACAAACACACACACACACAATTACATACCCACATACGCAAGCAATCATACAAACATACTCACGTACAAACACACTCACACATACACAACCAAACAAACAAACGCTTATTATTGCTTGTCTATTTATAAGTATGCAAATCAGCGCACACAAATTCATGGCTACGTATATCCATGCTATGCATGTCTCACATACTAACATAGAATATTACATACAAACATACATACAAAACTTGTATACATAAATACAAATACCTGTATATATCTAAACACAAATTAATACATATACAACAATCATCGCACTGACTTTGAATACAAATATACAAAAGGATATAAACAAATTAATATACAATGACATGAAACCCAAAAAAACATACTAATAAATCTATACAAAAACGAATAAGTACAATTGGACAAAATACAAATGTATATGACTTGTATGCAAATAAACATAGCTTAAACATAGACATACATACAATTACTAAAACACACACGCACGCACACTCACACACACGCAAGCACACGCACACAGATGTGTCTCGTTCGATACACTCATTATCACTTGACAGTCACTGATTGCACACACTAAATGATGCCAATTTTTTAAAAAATAATAGAAATAATAAAAGTTACAACGCTAATAATAATAATAATAATTATTATTATTATTATTATTATAAAACACCAATAATAATAACAATAACAAAAAAAATAAGAAGAAAAAAATAGACGGAATAGATGTTTCGACTGAGAAAAAAACTGATTTTTAATAAATTCAAATGAACAATGACGTGAAAAAAATTGAAAAATGAGAAAAAATTAATAAAATATTTTACAAAATTTTTCACAAAACCAAAAAAAACCATTTAGGTATAAAAGGAAAGAAAAGAAATTTATAATTTATTCTCTATCGGACGCTGAATTTACTACACTAGTAACACTGGTACACACACACACACACACACACACAAACACACACACACACAAACACACACACACGCGCGCATAAACAAGTACGTACAAATAGACACACGCATATATAAGCACACGCACATATGGGCACTGCGAGCGAATACCCGTATATGGAAACTCTGAAATTCTAACACAGCAACAGTCATTCACACATACATACACACACACATGCACACAAACTTACACGTACAAACCAACACACAACCCTCACATACACATAAACCAAAAAACTTTTTCAAATAATTCTCGTGCAGTTTTGAAAAAATTTAAAGCTTTGCTGATAGGAGAGAGAGGAAACATTTTCTGGTCTGCGTGCATTAATGGGTTTCTAATAAAAAATACAGTATATGTATATAGAGGAAGATAATCGAACTCGCACACGCATACTCAAACGTCTCTACACACAAACATACAAACACACGTACACATAAACAACACACGCTAGTACCTTTGTATACACACTTTTTTACATGTAAAAAATATCCAAAACATAAAAAAGTGTACGCATCAAAACGTGCAC